TCTTTTGTGTTCTAGACATGTGTTTCTTCTTTTTCTTTTATGCTTAAAAGGAGATGATAAATGTTTTTGCCATCATATGACTGATGATGTCTTTTGAATAAAGACGAAACTAGTCTCAAGTGAAATTCTTAACTTCATTATGTATAAGATGGTGTTTGTCTTATTATCTATTCTAAAATTTTATATTTTTACACATGTATACACCTCGCATATCAACTGTTATACTCACCAGTTTTGTTTTGAGTGCTAATTCAGTTTGTGGCACTGTGGATAAACTATTCTCCAGACTTGTGCATTTTTGTTCTAAATGAAATGAAAAAAATGTAATTAATCATTTTTGTTACGGATAAGTATGACAGTCTATAAGAGAAATAATCAATGATTAAAGTCTTAGAACATAGATGAAAATAATCATTGTTTTTTCCACTGTGGAAACAGAACAACCATCATCAAGAACGACTAATATAAAATACAGACGAAATTCATCGTTTTGTTGCCACAATTGATTTTCAATTTCACCATGTTTAACAATTTTATCTCTTACACGTTCGTAATCAACCGTTAAATCATGAAATTGTGATTCTATAGAGTTGTATAAAAATAAATTGAGAAACATCGAATTCACCAGAAAAGATTTTGCCTCCTACCACTACATTGTTCGTTAATTCTATTACATGAGAAAAAAGCTTTATATTAAGCACTAACTTTTTTTTTGTAACATAGTTTTGAATGGGATATCTTATACTGTTTTAGCACGTACTAATCTATTTTCTCAAGATGATCAATTCAAGTCAAGAATCCGATTTAGTGTAACAGACACTCAAGACGCTAATGTTAGATTGGAATAAGTTTGTCAATTGGGTTTAGGTACCAAAGATGATTCATTTACCGAATATTTAAGCATGAACATAGAAAATGTCCAATTGCACTCTAAAAGAAGGCCGCGTATATAGAACCAAAAGAGTTTTCTAATGGGTTTAGGAAACTTTACTAAACTCCTAAGGGTATCTGAATCGTTCCTAAAAACGTTTTTCGGAAGATTGGAGGGTTCTTTATAGCAGATAAAAGCTGTTGGGTTTTTCTTTATCTGGAGGAACTCAATAAAGTGATTTGCTAAATCCTTATTATTTTTCATTTAACTTAGTAGAATTTTTGAGTTTACTAAACCTTGAGGTTTAGAAACCAAAGGGTACTCTACAATTTCATCAGCAAGTACAGTGGTTTTTCACTGTTTCGAAACCCCTAGAGTATAGAAAGTTTTTCCATGTCCATTTTTATGAAAAGAGAGCATATGAGCTATGAATCTAATAAAGTTTCATCGCAATTCTGAAAATCAGTAGTACAGATCAATCAACTACGATGTCTAGCATTGGCATCTTTTCAATTTGCACTCCCTTCATAGTGATTTTATGTGCCATTGAACTTTAGTTACAGAAAAGAGAAATGAACAAAACAAATCAAGATTGAAGCAAAGGTAGATAGATAGAGTTGAGCAGTGGAGCGTTAAGTAGCAGGAGGAGCTTAATATCCTCTTGCACGTAAAAAACTTGGCATAGAGCATAAGCTCGTCTGACTTCTGCTATAATAGAAGTTATTCGCGAGCGCTCTTTTCCAGACAGAAAACTAGATAAAAGTAATTAGTTACTTTTAGTAACAGGTATGAATATTAAACGATGACTATACCTCAGTCACGTATAGTCATTCCAAATGGTGTATATAAACTAATATTAATGACTATACAAATGAAATAAACAGAGATACGAAGATGTAATTAACGTTATTCGTTTACAAGATCGATTATGACTCCCGTTAGAAAAGTATCTTTGAAAGTATAAGTCATAAAGAAGGAAGTCAGAAAGTAATCTATTCCAACTGGCAGAACGCAACAAACTTGACTCATGAGACGGTACAAACCCACGATTACTCATTTATTCCTTATTACTGTGACAGAAAAGAAACGAAAAGTAATTACATAATAAAAATACTTAAGGAAGGGAATAAAATGAATTTTGTGTTCATGCTTAAAGATGCAGCGGACATTTTTGACTTAGCATTCGAGTCAGAAATAAGGAACGAATGTGTGGAATGTGGCTATGGGACGCTCATTTATATCAGATATAATGTATAAGAATACTTAGCTCTCCCTCACCCTCACCCTCAGCTTAAGCGTGTGTATTGATCCGTACAAAGTGTTGAAATATCGGCCGTTTTAGACAACAATGTTCTTCCAGTTCCTCTCTCCACTGTCTATCGTTTGATGTTCATACTTTTCACCGTAGAAAAGTAGTATAGTTTTCTTGTATGCTTGAGACAACGGGCTTTATGGTAAAATAATTCCGAGAATTGCGTTTCTGTTAGACATGCACCGGTTATAACCGATATATTTTACCTTTTCCCTGAAACGGACTGTATGCAAAGTAAGCATAGTTGATTTTTTGAACGGCTGGGTTTCGTAGAGCAAAACATTTTTCTACAACATGAGCTACGATGGAAGTCTTCAACTTTTTATATTTCTGTCTCAGTCGTCTTCCGACGAAGAGCTGTAAACCGGTTACTCGATTATAACCGATCATGTGGCTTTTAAGATATATTCTTTTTTATAATTACCGAATCGAGATGAAAAGTGCTTCCATGCAACTGATTATAACCGGTGCATGCCTAGTTTCTATACGTTTTTCGTTGTTAAAATCCATGAAGAAAGCTGACGATGAATGAAATAAACTCTAGGCAAAATAAATACACTACATCGATTCATTCCTTTGTGCTGATTTAGTCTTCTCCTAACTGTGATGTTTATGAATGACAATGAGTCTAATTAATTTTTATTTATTTATTATGCATTCTAAACAATAAACGTTACGGACGCATTCTACATAGTATAATTGTATTGAAAATACACTGTGCAGAATCAGTAAATAGATGAATACTACGACGTTCTTCTGTATACTCCCAATTTTTTTCCGACGTCTAAGTAATTAAGTTGAAAACTGATTGAGGGTGAAAATTTCACGTTAACTGTGTGTACCCGAAAGCGAAGCTGTATAAGTGATCACTACGAAAAGTACTCATAGTATGTGCAGCATAAGCAGCGATTCCCTCTCAGATCGACCCTCCCCGATAACAGCGTATAGGATAGATAAGTTTTTTGCAAATTTCAACAATACTGAAAGGCTATTTACAAGTATCATAACCTTCTTTTTAGAGTTTAGAGAGTATAAATTTACCTATACGAATTTCTGTAGCATCTTGATGGGTTGTGAACGGGTCCTCACTTGGCCAATCCATTAAATATTAAAGCTTTTATTGAATAAGTGAGTTTTGTAATGATATTAAATTTACTTTAGTTGTTTGAAAATTCTGCTTAACAAAATAGTAAAACAAGAAACAGTTTGAGTATTTATTCAGAAAGCAATTTATTTCAACTAGCAGAACGCTGCATCTTTAAAGTATGAACGCAAAATTCGTTTTATACCCTTCTTTAAGTATTTTTATTGTGAGATGAATTGCTTTTTCGTTTCGTTTCTGTCACAGTAATAAGGAATAAATGAGTAATCGTGGGTTTGTACCGTCTCGTGAGTCAAGTTTGTTGCGTGACTTTCGTTCAGGATAAAAATCAAAAGTGTTTGCCTCCACTTTGCCAGCTATTATTAGTAAAATGCTCACATATCGTGGACGTCACAAACTCTCTACTAAACCTTTTCTGCTAGTAGATTAAGGGGGGTTGTCCTCCCCCAAACATACCTTCAGACTTGGTCAGTTTGTAGAGAACAATTTCAGTGGTATGTCTATGGAATACAACAAAATTTAGGTAAGGATTGACTGTGTTACTAATTATTTAAGTGTAGATTCTAATTTAAATTCGAACTACTGATCTCTCTTTTGAAGAGTTTGCAGTTCGATCAAAAATAATCGTAGAAGCGTCATTCTTGCATAGTTTGAGAGACAATGATCTATGGTCATAGTTTCATTAAGAAAAATTTTAAAATTAACTTGTAAAGTATTAGATGATAATTAATAAGTGCTAATCAATGCTAATTAGCGTCACTATAATGCCTTACAATTTTATTTGTCAGTTATCGCGTTAGTAACACAGTCAATCTTTAACTAAATTTTGTTTTATTCCATAGGCATACCACTGAAATTGTTCTATGATAATTTTTTCAGAGTAGCATGCATAATACACATCGCTTCCTCCAAGGTATTCTGGCGTAATTCAGCATCTAAGGATGCTTAATTCGATTTACGTTCGATATTTCTTAGTCGTTCTTCTATAGGTTCACTACTATTTCGCATGGCCAATAAATTTTCATTTATCTTCAGAAGTGTTTGATTTAAATCAGTAGTCGAATTGTTAGTTGTTTTTGTAGTAAGAGGAGGAATAAAAGTAGCTGCATTTGCTCGAGACCACGGAGCTGGGTGAGAATTTATTGGTAATGGTAGCTGAGGAAATTGTCCTTGCTGTAGCTGGAAAGTAGGCGTTGGACTTTCAAAAGGTTCAAATCTCTGTAATCTTCCTCTTTGTGACGCTCTATTGACTTCTTGTTTGAGTTCTGCTCGATATTCCTTGATTTTGTCACATCTACTATCCAGCAAATGGTGATCTCCATTACATTGAGCACATTTAGGACCAGTTGAACAAGGATGTGTATTGCCATTTCCTGCCAGATCTTCTAAACATAAACGACAGCGAGGAGAGGTAGCTTTGGCAATTATTTTGTAAATGACCCAGACACCAACATTTCGTACAAAATGTCATTCGATTTCCGACTTTGAAAGGTGTAATACTGCATAAGCTATTTCCAATAGAAATACGTCCACGTTGCAAAGCAGAATTGTATTCGCGTAGATCCTTCACATTAAATCGAAAATCGTTTGCACATCGTTCAAATGCATAGTTGATTTTTCTTGTATTCTCAGCCGAATGAAAATTTCGAAGTATGTCAGTCTTTACAACTTCCTCATCGTATTGACGACCAACAAAACAAACAGCAGTCGCAAAAGCATCTGGTACATAGGATGGTTTAATAACTTTAATGTTCACATTTCCGATTTTATCTGGTCATACATCTGCTGATATCAATTAAGTATAGTTTTCTTTATTATTGACGCCCCCTTTCAATTTATTTCCGGTGTGAGCCACGAATGAAAAGGATATATTATAGCCATTTTGTACAAAATGTAGTTCTAGCAAATTTGCAGCCATGGTGTCAGATGGAAGGTCCCGCTGGGATGTACCATCGTCATATTCGATGAGGAAGCAGGGCAAATTGCTCGACACAGCACGTTTTAACTGATCAAATGATATTCTGCGAGAGTTTTGCTCCTGAGTTGTTTGCTGTTGTGGGTGTAGCTGTGGTCGTTGCTGTTGAACGGGTTGTTCAGAAGGGCATTCAGTAGACAAGGAGGTATTTATGCCATTATTTGACGACAGAGCACGATTGTGAAAGACTCTGTTGTTTTGTTGTCTACCGCCACTACTTGAGTAATGGAGAACTCTTTTTGAGGATAGGGTAGATGTTTGTTGAGGACGTTGTTGTAAAGAAGGAGAAGAAGAAGCAGAATTGATATACGTCTGTTGATTTTCAAGTAGGTGTTGATGCACTCCTAAGGCATACTGTGGATTCGTGCGAATATAGTTGACCAAGGTTTCCGTATCATAAGGCATATTGGAGTTGAAGTTGAGCTGTTGACTACTTTCCATCGGATTAGACATGTCACGTGAATATTGATGAAACCGACTACAACGATTCCTATTCCCACTACCCCTCTGATTAGGGTAATTGGAATTCATTCTTGACACGTACGCACGTGCTCACTCACGTGTCTATGTTGTAAGGAAGAAGGAGCAGGAAGGAGAAAACGATGCGTACTACTTCTATCGTATGAAAAAAGTTTTCGTGTTCTTCTTCCTCATTTATATATTATACTTTGTTTTGGTTGTGAAGAACTTCGAATTTGGGGCCTTTTTTGTCACAGCGTTACGCGCCGAAAAACGGTTCTAAAAATTCGAGTCTTTAATCATATACTTTCGTTTTTACACCAAAAGCAGAGTGTGGTGAGCTGCGTCGAATGGCGCAAGAACGAAGTTTCTAGCCCTTACACTTTTTGTGATGTGTCGAAAGTGTCACGCTTGGACAAGCCGATATCAAAAATTTAAGTCTAAATAAGTTAAACTGTCATGTTCATCAAAATGCCAATTTTCACGTCTACTGAAAAAGACAAACCAGTTTTGAATCATAATGGGTATCAAGATACCAAAAAACGAGCAAACAAAACAAATAATCAACGGAGGTGTCGGGATCGAACACATGTTCAAGTACAATATCATTATGTACAGAGGATGTGAGAATTTTATGGAATGAATCAGCAAACACATGCAACTTAGATACCGTCAAAGTCCTCGTTGATATTGCCGTTATTTATTATATACACATATTTATCATCGTGCGCAAGAGGTACAGACAATTATATTAAAGCTAATTAACTGTAAACTAATATGGAACGAATTGAGAGAGAAGTGTTGATGGGACGAAGTGAGAAAAAAAAGCTTCATGGGACGAACTGAGAAGTCAATTTGGGACGAAGGAGAGTAAACCGAGAAAATGTAGTGGTGTTAATAAGAAGACAATATAATATTTTTCAAATGATTCGTAAAAGATTGTAATTGCTGTATTGTCTGTACAACATCCGTGGGGTTTTTTCCATAGTCCGACTGTTTTTCTTTTTTTCCATCAAATTTCTTTTTCTTCAATGTAAACTAGTATATGTAAAACTGTATGAAACGAAGAAATATACTACGACGTGAACTTTGCAATGTATTCAAACACGTATACATAGTTATCAAACATAGTTGATAACCCATGTGGATGGGAAAAAATTCTTAAAGTATAGAATAAGAAAACTTTTTCCTAAATGTTACTGAAGAAACGACTACTATCCATTTCAAAATAGAAAAAGGCTCGTCATTTTCTCAATAACTTTTTCTAGGATGTAGCTACGAAGCTGCGGTTTTCACTAGTCAGAAGAAAGATGTTGGGGCAATAAGAAAAACCAAAAATTATTGTCCCAAAATCACCTGCAGGTGGTGTACCCTGCGAAGATATTTTGCGAAAGATGGCACACCGCTGAAAAAGTTTCGGATTTTAACTTTTGAGACTACAGGCAGGTAGCCCGGACTGAGGTATTCGTTTCTAGAGCAGTCCCAGGCCGAAACTTTTTCAGTGGTGTGCCATCTTTCGCAGGGTGCACTACCTGCAGGTGATTTTGGGACAATAATTTTTGGTTTTTCTTATTGCCCCAACATTTTTCTTCTGACTAGTGAAAACCGCAGCTTCGTAGCTACATCCTAGAAAAAGTTATTGAGAAAATGACCATCCTTTTTCTATTTTGAAATGGATAGTAGTCAGACGGCCTTCTAGAAGAGTATGATATGAGGCGCATGTTCCAGATTTACTTTGCTTCAATATGTTCAATACGCTGTGGAGATCATTTTGTTTAGACTTCTTTTACAAAATCAATCATTGTTCCAGTTTTATTTTGCAGTCTCATTTGTAGTCCTTGCTTTACTCTGTTTTATTCCGCTGTCTTACTTTAAGAACCATTTTATTTGAATATAATCGTTTTGTGGTCACATATTTTATTACGTATACCATTTTTTTTCTGTCTTTCTTTCCTTAAGAACTTTATTTGGGTTCTTTCGTATATAACCGTCCGCCTTATCTTAGTATCTGTTGTAAAAGTCTTTGTACAAAACTAAAACTCATTTCTCTTATTAAGAAAACGTTTCTCTGAATTGAAAGGTACACTTTGAAATTCACATTTAGTAAGCTTTTCAAAACTTTTCACAATTTTTTCTTTCGGAGTTATTAATATTTTGATGCCAATCTCGAACACTACGTTTGTACACAAAAAGAAGGCATCAAGCTTAACAAACTTTAATGCAACTGCGATAGAGGAACTGTAATAATTTTGGTTTGAATATCAGTTTGAAGAGTAAATATTTCTCTACAAAGTGGTATGTGGAGTGCCTCAGTACGGCTTAATTGCAAAAAAATATAGCGTTCTACAAAAAGCTCTGTTTTTTCTGAACTCTCGTTCGTTACAAAATTTACTATATACAACGTTGTACATGGTATAAGAGTTTTGGAAAAAATGCACATAACTTTTTGGAATAAAGTCGTATGAACCGTGCAAAATGTCATATTGCAGAGAAATATCTAGTCTATAATCCGGTATTCAAATAAAAAGTTAATTTTCAATTAATCGGTAACAATACAGCATAGAAAATTCTTTGTGAGAAAACACACTTTTCGAGATTATCAATAAAATATTAATAACTTCGAAACAAAAACTGTGAAAAACTTTTTCAAAAAAAATTTGACAAGCTTACTAAATGTAGATTTCAAACTGCACGTTTGAATTCAGGAGAGAAATGTGTTTTGATTTTGTGTAAAGACTTTTGTAACAGATGTTACATATCAAGTCACGAATATAGAACGAGCAAAAAAGAAATTATTTCGACTATTACATCTTAAAAAAATTCGGCCCACCGAATACAGAATACAAAAGAATTTTTTCTAAAGATACAAGTGAAAGAAGAATAAAAAACAAGACGAGCAAAGAACGAAAAAATACGTCAGAATAACATGTTTCCTATGACTCAATAGACGATAGAAAATGAGAGAAATGTTTACTTTTTTCTTTTCCTTCTTCTTCTCAGACACGGAGAAGAGTAAGTCATAAGAAACACACGTTTATACTCTGAAGTACATACTTTGAGGCGATCATAATAACTTTTACTGCCTTTTTCAGAAGTATACAATGACTTCGTTCATTTGTATAAACTGCGGTACTCAATTTTCTCCTTCAAATTCGCCGCCCGCTCATTGTCTGATTTGTGAAGATGAACGAGAGTTTGTTGGTATAAATGGACAACAGTGGACGAGTCGTGAAGAAATGATCTCGTCAAATAAGTACAAAAATAAAATTATTGAAGAAGAACCAGGTATTTATTCAATTTTACTCGAACCTTCATTTGGTATTGGTCAACGTGCACTTCTTGTTCAAACACCCAACGGGAATATTCTTTGGGATTGTGTTAGTTATCTTGATCAACAAACTATTCAATATATAAAAGAAAAATTTGGTGATTTATCTGCTATTGCTATTTCACATCCACATTATTATACGACCATGATCGAATGGAGTCGAGAATTCGGAAATATACCAATTTATATTCATCAATTAGATAAACAATGGGTAATGAGACCTGACAAATGTATTGAATTCTGGAATGGTGATACTCTTGATCTATTAAATGGTGAACTTAAACTCGTTTGTACCGGTGGTCATTTCAAAGGTTTTCAAGTTCTTTATTGGCCTCGACGGCAAATACTGTTCAGTGGTGATCAACCACAAATTTGTATGGATCCAAAACAAGTTAGTTTTATGTATTCATATCCAAATTTCATACCATTAAATGCACGGAAAATTAATCATATTATGAAATGTTTACAACCGTTAGATTTTGATCGACTATATGGAGCATTTAAAAATCGAGGGCTTAAGGGTGTTATTGAAACAAAGGCAAAGGAAATTGTTGAAAAATCAGTGAAAAGATATTTAAAAGCAATTAGTGACGACAACGATGATTAGATCAAAGTATTTTTAACGACCGTCTGTTGTTTCTAAGGAAAACGAAGCTTTTTAATAAAGATGAAAGTAAATTTCTATAAAATAAACTGGACAGTTTTCTTCAAATTTAACTTTGCTTTGAGATCGAAAACTATTTATTTCGTATGCGGATTAATTTGTAAAGCTGTTAAATTCTTGTGTTCTTTTTCTTCTTATGTATTATGTCCGGTTAAACTTTGCTGCTGCTATGATCCATTTAAGAATACGGTGCACTCTGTGACTTTTTTAACAGCTTTTTAATGAAAAAACATAAAGTTTTCACCCGTTTACAGTAAAATTTTCTCAGACAATGTTTGTATAGAAAAGAAAGTTTCAAAAGTTTTTCGGTAAACTAGGTTTTCTTGGAGATCTTTAGAAAATCAGGTAATAGCTCATAAACTTGAAGTAGAAATATTCTGCTTTATTTTTATGTGTCGGTCGCCCAGAATGTTGTCTCGAAACTGGAAATTCTTAATTTTTCATCGTTTAGAAGCATCAAATTCTCTAGAGGCCTCAGGACTGGTACTCTCAGAGAGGAATGAATTGTAGCTAGTCGGCCATGCTGAATCGTATGGCAAGATTTTTTATAGAAACATTTAAAACCCAGTGAAAAATTAGTTCTGCTAAAATTTTTCGATTGTTTGCTGTTTCCACCGAAAACTAAAAAGTTTATAGCTCATCTAGAACTTTTCCAAATCATTTAATAATTTGCAAAAAGCTTGTTGAATAGATAGATCGTGTTTCAATTTTGAGGTATGTAGTACTTCTAGTGTTGTTTTTTCAATTCTATATCGAATATTTCAAATGTTGTCTCAAGCATCAGATAGAACTGGTCATTAAAAAACAATTCTATGTAGATTATATAATCTAGATAATTCACAAATCTGTTAGCTACATTTCTTTATTGCTAACTATATAAAAAATACTGAACGTTTTTGAACCCCAAGCAATCTCTTAATCTGTCATTATGCCATCTTTACCCTTCTCCTCTTCAGTTCTTGTTCTTTTTTTTCTTTTTTCTGACTTTGCTTTTATTTGTTATACTTTTACCTTCTCATTTTCTTCTTTCTAGTCGTTCACTTTCTTATTGTATGTCGCGTGCGTGTATTCTGCTCTATGTACATGTTTTTATCTAACCATGTTAGAAAATGAATGTGTCTATGTCAATCTTTCTCTCTCTTTAACTCTATATCAGTGTACATTTGCAACTTTTTACTTTACAGAATAGTCAAAATGGGTTTCATGTTCTGTTCATGTTTGTTGTTACAGTAGTTCTTTTTCTTCTTCTACTCTTCATTACATAATATAATAAAGCTTATATCAATAATTGTTCCATCCCATCTCGTTTCGTCCCTTCCATTTTCTATCATTCTACTTACTTTAGAACTATCCATTTTTTTCTATCAACTGTATACTAATCAATGTACACAGAATTGTTTGATTCAATTGTGTCTATATTTATGTGAAATTTGTATGAAGCAAAAATTTATTGTTTTTAATTTTTAAATTTTTTCGAGTTTTCCCAAGATCCTCTGAACATTGGTTTCACAAAGCTTTAGAAAAAAGCTTTAGATTTCTCTCAAACTTTCTTAGTTTATAGAAGACACCTGAAAATATATATCCTAGAATTTTCTGGGTCGTACGAACGTTGTGCGACAGAGTTATTAAAATTTTGAAAACTTTTCAGGTTATTTTGGCCTATTGTTGAAAATTTAATAAAATTTCTAAATTTCAATTATGAAGCTCATTTTTTGTGTCGTTCCATAGAGCAGATTGAGATGTATATGTGCAAAGGCTTTCACCGTTATCGGACAAGATTTGGAAGAGAAATTGCAAAATGAATTGGAAAATGGGTTTTGAGTGGAGAATTTTTTAATGTTTTGTATACACTTTCTTCTCAGGAAGGAATTTTTGAGCAAAAGTGTAGGAACCAAAATTTCGTAGAATCCTGGTTTGTGTAAGAAAACTGTATTGCTATTGTGGAACGTCTAAATGCAAATTTTTAAAGTTAAAAATACGAAACTTAGGCAGAGCTGAGCGACACCTGACCAAACTGAGTCCTAAAAAGAATTTTTTGTCTAGTGAGATGAAAGCGTCAATGAGATATAAAAAATCATAGAATATAATTCGACGTACTGAAACGGATGACAACATCAGAAATTGAAATACAGAAAATTTCTTATGCTCGGGTTTTGAGAGATCCAGTTATCAAAAACGATGAGCCGTGAACAAAATTTCGCTTCCGGGAAGCATTTTGGAAGAAAAGTTGTTCAGGATCGAATTCCACATGGGATGAGAGAGGGAATTTTTGAAATTCCTACTGCTCGAATTTAAATTTTATTAAAATTTTAAAAACGGAGCCCAAACCTGCGACTTCACGTAAAATAATTTTTTCTCACAAACTACAGGCCCGATAGCCGAAAAAAAATCCAGACCACTCCTTGAATATCGAAGGGAAAGGAGTCGCCATGTAAATTTTTTGTTGAAAGAAATCATATGTGACAAATATATGAAACTATAATAAGAACAGAAAAAATAATAAAGCAGAACGAGTATAAATGATATTGTGAAAGAGATCTCAAGTATTGACCTCGAAAGATGAAAATAAACACATGCTTTTCTGAACGTCCAGTTCGCATATTAAAAGAAGAATGATGTGCATAACAGAAAATTTGAAATGCTAAACTATTGATTTTTTACATCAGCAGACGGACAGAAGTTTCTTGAATGTCGGACTGCTTGCAGTAGATAGTACTTTCAGTGTACTATCTGGAATCACCGTCAAAAGTTTGGGATAAGTAAATTTGTTACAGAAAGTTTTGCGACCAAAATCGAAGTAAATGACCGGCATAAGCATTCACTTTTCTGTCTTAATGAAAAACTATATATTTTTCAAAAGAATACCATTGGATAGCACGTGAAATTCTCTACAAACTAAGCTGATCAGAAAATCTACATCTAACCTACTTCAGAATGTTAGGAAATACTCTATTTTATTCACTCATTTTGATTCTGTACGTAAAATTAATAAAAAGTATTCTCTTAGTTCCGAAGGTTTCTGAGAAAGCTTTCTAGAAACTAAAGTATTTTCTGCTGATTTTTTCAACATTTGTTGAGCTTTGTGAGATGTTGCAGATAAAATAGAGTATTTCCTGACATTCTGAAGTAGGCTGAATCGATTCTGACTGAGTTATGAACTTTTTAATTTTTTGATGAAAATAATCAAAAATGGGTTATTTCATCTTGTATATGTTTTCACTCAGTTCTTGCAATTTGCACTGAAAATTAACATTGCCACGAGATTCACCATAGTCAAAAATCTATGTTTGCTATCATTTTTACTGGTCGCAGTCCTAACAGAAGGGCAGTATCGATGCTTCGGAGAAAAACTTTGCCAGACCCGAACCGTGGATTTTGAAGATATCACTTGGATCCACTTTTGTAGAGGTTTGCTTATAGTTCGAACTATAAGCACATCGAAAAAAAATCAGCATATTTTGTGTGTCACTCCTTGGGGCTACGACCTGGTTTTCCAAAGATTCTCTGAAAATTCGGTCTTTGTAGCGAAAAGATCATTTCGATTGAACTCAAATTGCTACGGAAGAAAAGAATCTACTAGGTTAAAATTGAGTATCAAAAATGCATCATCTGTATTTTGTAAACGCTACAAACAACTAAAGTCCAATCGAGCTCAACCTTTCGCTAAATATTCCTCTATGAGTGCTCTACCATTGGCCATAGCGCCAGTGAGTCTGCATTGTGCTGGCGATTTTTCAAAAGCCATGGTCTTGGGAGCTTCAGACCTGGCACTCAGTGGCTATTGGTAGTCTTGAAAACGGATGGACTATAGACAATCGATCATGCTGAGGCTTGCGGCAATATTTATTTTTATAAAAAGGTCTAAAAATCCACAACAGAGGGAGTTTTACGAAAATTTGCGTTTTCCGGCTGTTTTCACCTAATATTAAAAAATTCACTAATCTTCACTCAAAAAGTATCAGAACGAGTTCAAAACCTCAGAATGTAGGGCACTTAAGCTATGCTATATCCTATTCGTAGGAGATCTTGAACGAAATTAGGTTTTCTAAAAGGATTTCTGGAAAACCTATTGCTTTTCGATTATTTTTCGATCTTATACCTACGTTTAGCGGACAATATTAATCATATCCTGAGGTTTTGAGCGTGTTCTGATGTTTTTTGAGAGTATAGTGAATTTCGTAATATTAGACGAAAACAGCCTGAAACCCCTAGTTTTCGTAAAACTGGCTTTTCGGTAGATTTTTACAATTTTTTCTAAAAACAAATATTCCCACGAGACTCAGCAGGATTGCTTATCCATATTCCATCCGTCTTCAAGGCTACCAATACTCACCGGGCGCCAATCCTCGGACCTGTAGGAAATCCGACACAACGCCGGAACCGCGGAAAATCAACGCCTCGCTTTACTCCCGTTTTGAAGAGAACACCCCTGGCTATCTATCAATCCATGAAAAGAAAGCAATACAATCCTGTTAGAAAATTTTTACAGACGACCTAGTTTTCCAAAGATCTGCTAGTAAACCTGCTTCAGAAAACTCTTCTGAAAATAGTTTTGATTATGAAAACATGGCTCCAAGTCTCATCTTTCGAATGGCGAAAATCGGAGCTCTCTAGTTCTTTTCTATCAAAAGTTATTACTGAATTAATAGCACATGTCCGCCTGCTCTAGCCAAAATTGCCCACTGTGTTTAGGTCGGTCAGTTACCATCGTATAATTATCAATTTATGGTTATTAAGCTCAATTAACTACCCCCCTAATATCAAGATGTCTATCTCGAAGGGAATATCATTCTCGCTCGGATACCATCCCGTTTACGGTATAGTCTCATTTTGAACAGTGAAATTCTCCTTTTTTTGAAAAACATCACCTGACTTGAACCTCTTACTATGTGAGCCTCTAGTAACAGCTTCCTATCTTCCACGTTGGGAAAATGGCCTGCATC